TCACTTCAATTGTAAATTCCATAGTTCCAAACTATAGTAGCACATACTATATAATAACCAAAATTATACATATTATTGCAAGACGTTTTTGTATACCTTTCGGATCAGTCTTTGTTAGATCCTCCTTTCCTCTTGTTGAATTTTGTTCCATTTTTAACTCTTCAGTTTTCAATAATCTTCCTTTCTTTTCTGTTGTAATGACAAGTCATGATTAATCCTTTGCTTCATGAACTCCCAACCATCTTGCTCGCCACTTGCCCTTTCAATATTTTTCAATCCATGCACAAAAGTTTAATAACTTGTCTTTTCCATTTTTGTATTCTTTATAATCACCTATAAAGCTCGTAAAACAAAATTCAGGTGTCTTCAAAAAAAAAAAAAAATGAGCTAGAACTTGCACCAGTTGTCGACGATACAACTTCAAACTCCCACTTAGACCACTGTTATTAAAGTGATAAAAAAACACACACCACGATTCTGAAAAATGGAAGTTGCTATAAAAAATTAGTGTTCACCAATGCTCAGGTAATCAATTCTCAAATTCCTTTCAACATTCTTTCTTCACTTTTATTATAACAATCTACTTTTGTTAAACAATATTTTTACGCATTACATCTCCAAATTTGTAGAGAAAAAATTGAAGCAACCACTTATGACATGACAAAGACATAATTTTTCAAAAATTCTTTTGAACTGCACAGAAAATTCTACATCTCCAATGCCAAAGGCTTCTTCACTATCATAAACTAATGATTCCATCTTCTTATATTATATACTTTCAGTTTTCCAAATTTTCTCATCCTATGTGTAAAGCCAATTAAATTACAGAAAACTTAAAACAACAATTACTAACAATCTTCAACAATAGAATCCAAACTCCTGCGCATCGTGTGGGCTACCCCTCCAGTCTTGTGCATAAATTGGAGGCAATGTTTTAAAAGGTGGAGGTGCTGGGTGAAATGTATGGGGAAAATTAGGAATATGGTAAAATGAACATTGAAAATTCACAAGTGGTTTGCAAAATTAGGAATTAAATATTCCTAAACAATTGGTTACTATTCATTGGAGGGTCTGTCTAACGAGTGCCTATAAAGCATGCGTTAAAATATATTTCATGTGTCGTATTTTTTAAAATGTAAGATTAATTGGAGAAAGTAATAAATACAATGGAGGATAGGTAAGAGTGAATAGTAAACATATATAATGCAAGGGAGGATAATAATTGTTAGTATCTGTACAAATATGATAGATTAAGTAAATGTTATGTGTGTCAACAAGAATGGGCACCGGCTAGAAAAATCCTTCATATATATAAACAATTGTATCTTTATGCCACATTAGAAGTACACTCTCTTCTATTCATTTGCATCTACCGAACAAAATGTAGAAACAATGGTAGAGGTGGGAGGTAGACAGCCACTTCGGCTATTTGACTAAATGGTGGCTTTCCAGCCATCTCTCAAGCAAAAATGATTTCATATTAATCATCTAGGGCAAAAAATTTGGATGGCCCTCAAACTTCACAACCTTTACCCAGACTAGCCGGTTAAGTAGCCAGTAAGAGCAACAAATGCAATGTGCAAACCAAATTTTAAGCGATTTTTTATCTGCACAATCACAAATTGTTGAACAAAACCCTAAGAAATAAAAATCTAGGCTCTTCTAATCTTCCTTATGTATTTTTTCAGGAAAAAAAAAGAGTAGCTTTGAATAAGCGCCATCATTCAATGTAAGGGAGGTGGAGGAGGAGAATTCTACAAATGCAACCGAGAAAGTTTATATCCTTCAAAGGATAACTAAGGTTTCAAAGAGGCAATTTGATGGGGCAATTGTCACTACTCAGTCCTCTCTAAGCACAAAAAAAGCTCTTGCTTCACAAAATCTCTCTCACACATTTTCACAAACACATAAAACCCACCATGACTAGAACCAAGCAAACGGACACAAATCAACAAATTCTTTGTAGCCATCGATGGCTGGCTCTCCACCAATTCTTCTTCCATCTTTGACAAGAAAACGTAGAACATCCATACTCCTGTTTCAAGCGCCCTAGATATAATTTTCAGTCACTTTGGAGTTTCAGTCCATTGATAACTAAGTAATGCACAATCTGCCGACATATAGCCTAACAGACTAGATCTAACTATGCAAGACTGTTTTAGACAATGGTCGATGATGGTATGGCCACCAAGCCGTTGATAGGTTTGAAAGCCTGATTTTTGGTTTCGGCCAAATATCATTTATTTTAGACATGTTAAAAAAAGAAATTAGATTGTGAGGGGTGTTCACCAATATATTGGTTGGGCGAGAAAAAAGCATGGCTGAGAAAAGAACTGAAGGAGGGAGAGGGTGGATGGACCTGGTGATAGAATTTGGTCTGTGAATTACTTGACCTGTAAAGAAATCATTTTCTAAAAGAAAAAGGGGTCATGGATCGGGTTTGTGGCTGCTTGGACAAAAAGCCCTTGAAATTTGGCCTGTGCATGGCATTTGCTGCTCATACTAGCTGTTTAACCAACTAATCCGGGTGAAAAGGTGTGAAACTTAACCACCTTTTATGAGTTGGGGGGAGGGGGGGTAAAATTAGACGCTTAATTGTTGGAGGGTTAAAAATTGCTCAAACTAAATAGTTTGAGGGCCATTTAGATTTTTTGCCCAATTATCTACTTACTGAGTCAAAAATTTTGGCATAAATTGTATGAGATTTGGACAAAATTTGAAGGTGGATTATATTAATTATGCCACCTTTAGGTCTTTCCATCAATTGGTGTCTCTTTGGCCACATCGCCTAGATAAAATAGTAGCTTTGCGACCTACTATTTTGGCTGAACAGTGGTTTTGCATCTATTTTTGTAGGTTGCAGTGGTGGCAGTGCCACCTTAGTCTCCACCAGATTGGCGGCTCTCCGGCAATCTTCGTACAAAAATGATGATAGATTTGTAATTAACTGACTAAGTCGAACATTTTGGTGTAAATGCTGAATTTAGATATGTTTTGCAAGTTTATAATGGTGGTTGGGTGGGTCGCAATTCGGGTCTTCACCCAATTGACAGCTCTCTACCCATTTTCATGAAAATTTGATGTTAGATTCGTGATCTAATATCTTAATCAAATATTTTGGTATAAATTTTGTTAAATTTTTATTGGTAGTGCTGTCATCGTTTCTTGTCAAAATAACCGTATTTCGCCCCATTTTAGATAAAATTGATATCGGCAAGTTGCAATTGACTTTTGAGTTGTCAAATTATTAGGGGCGTTGGTTATTCGTTTTGGCACAAACACTCCAATCATTTACAATTAATAAAAAGTGGACAATTCCCCAAAATGAATTTTAAAAAGCTTAAATCTTGCTTTTGAATTTCCAAACTTTTCATTCCTATATTCATAATTCTCCCAATCGTTTTTTGTATCTTAGTGCAACGAAAGTTTCAAATTTTGTCTTAATTAAATAATTAGATAGTGGAATATTCCATTAAAATTAACTAAGAATTTAGGGATTCAATTAGTATGTGAAATTCTACTTTGGAATGGGTAAAATTGAAAAGAAACAAAGTTACTACGACAAGTTATAATAAGAAAGTAAATAATGTACGTTTGAAAAAAAAATCAAGTGTAATGGTTTAGCGGAAAAATATTTTTTGAGCAATAAAACACTTGTCAAACCTTGTGTACCAATAATAAGAAAGCAAATGTAACCTTTTACTTTGACTTTCCCTCTCTTCTCTACATCCTGTCTTCCCCCAATTGCCAAATATAGGGTTTAAATCTTAAATGTGACAACAAAAAAAACTTTGAAACCCCTCCCGCAACCCTTAGTGCAACCCCAATCAATGTATATAAAAAGTTATAGGGATAAGATCATAGACGCATAAAGAAATAAAAAATGCACAAAAATTAAATCTGATACGAGAGGAAAGAGCTGTTCTTAAGTTCTTAAATTATTTATGTTTGAAGTAAAAAAGGTTATTCTCTAGGTACATATGACGACTAAGATGAGGATTATCCTGTTTATTTATTTCTCTTTCATCAATTTGCCTCGGTGATTATTCATTATTTCCTCTCTTTCGCTTTCCTTCAAAAAAAAAAAAAAAAGAGGGAGGCCGTGGACGCAGCCCTATCATGTGAAGTTGAAGTGGAAGTATCATCTACGTTATTACATCTCTGTACTATATTATACGTCCTAAGTGCGACCCGCTGCTCAATGGAGTAGTTTATTAACTCGGCCCCACCCCACATTCTCTCTGCGTTCCGCTCCAATAAACATCCGGTTTTCAAATTTGGGGTCATGCTTCCAACCGACATAAAATATCTCTGTCTTTATATGGAAATGGGGCAGCTTTCTTTATATGGAAATGGGGCAGGGATAGTTGCAGATAACGACAATACCCAAAGGTTGACGGCAATAATTTAATCCAAAAACTATGTAGGGTTCAGAATTTTTGGGTTCCAATACAACATGGTCGCAAGGCTGAAACTCGCAAGGCTGAAACTTAAAGGAGTTGACGGAGCATTTTATATTTTGATTTTAACATCATACGTGATATTTACAAAATGTTATTCTATTTTACACGTTATTGAAAATGAATTACAATTTGAATAAATGAGATTATAATACGTGTGTCGTGAACAAAACCGGTCCAAACGGTTTGTCTGACAACAATTGGAGCCGTGGTCCTCTCAGTAACTTGTCAGCTTTCTTCGTACTTAAATAGCTCTTTGCTGGTGTATAATTTATGCTGTTGTGCGTACTCTTCGTTCACTCTATCAATGCAACGGCTGCGCGAATGAAATGCCCTAGAAACGGCGTATATTCTGCTAAACTAAGTTCGTACAAGATATACTACTAAACTAAGTTCGTAGCAACCTGCATATTAAACTAAGTTTGTAGCAGCCAGCATATTGACCAAACTTATCGCGTACTGATCTAGCTCACAAGATCTTTTCTCAACCTCTCAAGACTAGTATATAAGTACACGAATAAGACACCTCAAAAAGGAAACAAAAATGGCTGCTTTCAATAGATTTCTAGTTGGCATTGTCATAGTATTCTTGGCTTATTCTCCCTCTTCCTCTGCATTACACTTTCTGTTGATTCATGGTAGCGGTCATGGGGCATGGTGTTGGTATAAGTTGGCGACTTTGCTGGAGCAAAAGGGCCACAATGTCACGGCTTTGGATTTAGCCTATTCTGGGAGAAATCAAGTGCCACTCGAAAGAGTGCACACCTTTGATGAATACCATAAACCTCTATCCGAATACATGAAGTCTTTATCTCCTGAGGATAAGGTAGTCCTCGTTGGCCACAGCTATGGTGGTTATGGTGTTTCCTGGGTCATGGAAAGGTTTCCAGAAAAGGTTCTTGGTGGCGTTTTTGCTTCAGCCTTCATGGTGGGGCCTAACTTTACACTAGAGGACACTAACAAGGTATTTGTTTATTATATAGGTCATCGTTAAAGCTAATTGATTCTAGGCTTGATTTAGATTGAAAAATTTGATGAAAAAGTTAAAATTCACCCGAATCAGTCGCTCAAGTTATTTGAATTTTTTAAGAGACATTTTTGCTTTTAATTAACTAATTACACTAATAAATGTGAAACACAAGAATATTTGATAATTTTTAAAGTCAAATATCTTTTACAAAATCTAAACAATGATTGAAACTTGAGAAAAATTCAAATTCTTCTTCAAATCTCTCGTTCCAAATGGTGGAATTCTTTATTCAGAATTTTCTTTCATCAAACTGCAAACATATTTGTGTTTCTATGAGTTATTATTTCTATTGTTTGTCGCTGCCTCGTGCTATTTTTTGCATTAGCTTCATATGATCTCCAACAGTCACCCGCATTTCAATTCTCGTTTTTGACTACTATTGTTTTGTGCTTTGCTCTAGCTGCTTCCACGGCCAGATCAACTAGATGACAGTTTCGTTATTGGAGATCCTATAAGAATTGTGCTCATTGGGCCCCACTTTGCAGCAACCCTGCTCTACCAGAATTCTCCGCCAGAGGTAACTAAGTCAATATTCAACCATACATGATGGAACTAATATGGCAATCTTTGACGTTGCATTCAAGGATAGGAAGTGAAAATAATCTTTTTATCCAATGAAAATGCTAAACTTTATAAGGGGAAAGGAAAAGGGGATGTCAAGAGAGTTGTATAGGAAAAATAATTATCCAAATAGGAAAAAAAAAAAAAGCAAAGTCATAAAAAAAGAAAGTGTTAGTGTGTTACACATTCGACGTCTGGTTAATTAGATGTACTTTTTGGAATGAGAAGTCAAGAAAAGGAATCCATCTAAGAAGTCAACTAGCATATTAAGGAACTTTACGACAAAGTCATTTATGGAATCTCATTTCCTTTTGTAGCCTTATTATATAAATTTCACAATTTCAAAACATAAAGTTCAGATAAATAAGTTATTTTAAAACAACTATTTACCTTTGAGAAAATAATGAGTTATAATATTTCTAACTTTTATTCCTCGTTGGTTTATTAGACAAGGAAAGTAGTTATCATACAAGGGAAAATGTGTGGATTGAAGCTATTGGTTATTGTACAAAAGAAGAAGCTATTCGTTATTAGTTACAGCTTGTGCTAAAGCAAACAGAAACGAAAATAGGATCATGCTCTAAAGAAGTCATATCATCACGTTCTAATTGGCTTTAAATTTTTTAATAGTCAAAAGCTCCTTCAAGCATTTTTCCTTTGACTTCTTTATGAAACTTGAAGGAATTGGATATATATATGTAGTTATGCTAAGAAATTTGCATGTATGTGCTTGTGAAAATACTTTCTGCTTAACATTACTTTTTATTTTAAGAATCTGCACTAAATATGTACGGTTTGGTCTATGGGCACCTTTGAGGTCAATTTTATATTTTCCGTCCACTGCAATTTAATGTCTAATAATTTCAACAGGATCTGAAACTTGCAAATTATTCTTTAAGATTAACTCAGTTCTTCTATGGAGATGTGGTAAATAGACAAATTCGGGTTACAAAAGAGAGGTATGGATCAGTTCCTCGAGCCTATGTTATTGACTTGGAGGATAAGCTAATTACTCCTGAAGCGCAAAGGCTTATGATAGCGAGGACTCCTCCACAAGTGGTGAGGCAAATCCGAGGGGCAGACCATATGGTTCAGTTTTCTAAACCTCGAGAATTTGCCAACAATTTGATTGAAATAGGTGGGTTGTTTGAGTCGTTTGATCAGGAAGGCAAACCATATGCTCTCTAAATCTCAAGAATTTGCCAACAGCTTGCTTGAAATAGCTGAGTTGCTTGGTGTCCTTATATATATATATATTTTTTTTGTCGAAACGATAAGTGATTTTATATCATGAAATAAACTATACAATTCAAGCAAAGGCTTGATAACTAAATACAACTAGTGCACTATGGCACTAAGGAATCACAAATTCCTCATCTTGAATGATATTCAACGCATAAGCGCTAATCCTGTTAGTTAAATGATTATTATCTCCATCAACTAGACAAAAAAAGCACATTCGAAACAAGGCCTTCAAATTGAGAATATCCTCTAGCAGTGTTGTGACGCGCATGTCCAGCGTTTTGGCACTCTGAATTAGATGAAAGAGTCGCTTGTTGTCCAACTGCACCTGAATATTCTCGAACTGGTATACAGCAGCTTTACTAAGCAGTAATTTGACAGCTTGTAATTGATCAATGAGAAGATTCCCGGAACTTCTCTCATGTAGCGCCCACCCTTGAGCCTGGTGTTGAAAATTCCCAGTGCATATGATCCCAATTCCGAGTTGAGAAGTGACCTTTCGCTCCTGTATTGCTAATCTCAGTGTCACTGAATTATGGCCTTGCTCTTGTAGCTGCACTTGTGACTGCCTAGTTCTTGTTTCTTCTGTACTCCGTGTTGATGGTATTTCATTAGCTTCCTTAAATAAGTGCTGGACACCAATTCCGAGCTTGGTGTCCTTATATACTTGGTCGATTTGTGCTGTATTATTGTTTAGTGTGTACCACACATTGTATTGATGTGAAATAAGTGCATAAACCTTGTATTGGTAATTGTCTTGCTCAGTCTTGTTGGAGGGTAGGTATATAGGTATATAGGTATATATCCCCTCCGAATTTCAAATTTATTAATAAAACATAGGGCTGACATCTCTCTCTCTATGGAGTTTGCAAAAAAAAAAAAAATGGCTTGCTCAGTCATATTCGAGATTATTAACTTAATTATGTTGTGTGTCAAAATGAAGATATTAATCCAATTAAGCTTTTGCAATTCGAGTACGTACATTTTAATGTTTCCACAGAATATTTACAGGGTCATTGTTCTATTCCACTCGGGCATAACTTTTATTTCATGTCACTCATTCAACTCCTAATAGTGTGAACTTTTGGTCCCATGAAGATTGGATATTAGCACATCTATCACGCGTCAATGTGTTATAGACAATTAAATACAGTAGGTTGCGTATGAATTAAGTATTTTATGGGTATTTTTGACGAATTTACTTTGTATATTAAAAACTTTCAATCTAGATGTCTTTTGGGTGTATTTTTAAGGATATTAACTTTCATTCTAGATGTATTAGGTATTATCATTTCTATATGTTTTATTGAAAGAGAAGATTAGTCTTAATACAGCACTGTAATTACTTAATATCTCCTTTATTTTTACTAATCACGAGTAAAAGACTTTGTAACTAAGTATCACAAAAAGTATGCGTACAACGTGCAACGCATGTTCTCTTATGCAGGTTATTTAAAGTGTAGGACAAAAGGAGCAAGTTAACAAAAATCCAACTTGAAGGTTTGAAATTTTTTTTTTTTTTTTTTGGATTTGTTGGTACAAGATCTTCTAAGACGGAGGTTGCGATGGCCTTGAAAGTTTTATTGATTGAAACAATATTGAAAGAAAAGGCAAGAAATTGTAGTTTGCTCTTTTTTTTCATTTGTTTGATGAATATTTTAGGGTGAAATTACATTCATGTCTTCGTCATTTTGGTTTTCAATACTTAATTACCATATTGAAAGCACGTGTTTCCCACACTCCAAACACACTGACGGGGTTTTGGATTCCGTCAATTATTTTACTTAATTAGAACAGATTTCACAATTTGTGGATTTAAATGTCCTATTTTAAAGTTTAAAAACTAAAATAAGATTCCACATATTGTTTAAAAGGACAAAGTAGAATTAACCCTCATGTTGCAACAAATCAAGTGGTCCCTTCGGTGACATCTCTCACCAAAAGATGACCGAAATATGAAACCACTCCATTTATGGGTAAGGTCGTACTACACAAGTTTTTTGCCCTTTCTTTTTATGGAATGCTTGAACGATTGAAAGATAAGAGGTGTACACATCCGATAATAATTAGAATGGCCCATTGTTTTCTTATGAGACGCTTGTACGACTGAAACGTAAGAGGTGTGCTTATTTAACCATGGGTGGTCCCTTCGGTTAGCATATTCTTTAGACTTGATCTAGAGGTAAGCAAATTCGGTAAGTACTGAATTTGTACTCGATTTTAAATTTAATTTGGTAATTTAAAATCATATATTTAGGAATTTAATACAAAAGCGATATTTATCAAATTCATCGAATTCTAATGTGGTATAAAATAGGTAATAAAATTATTAATTTGATAACAACCGATTTCGAATTTAAATTTGGTAAAACGAAACAGGTACCGTATTATCACATTCGAATACCAAATTAGTTTATAAAATTATATAATATATAGGTAAATGCTATTAATAATAGCTAGTATATAGTATTATCATGTACTTATAATAACAATAATATATAATGATGTATAATATACCATTTTAGTATTTGTTATATGATTATAATAATACGAATATATAACAATACATAACATAACTATAATATTTTTCCTTTTATACATGACTAGAATTAGATAATAATTAATAAGTATAGGTATAATACTAAATATTAAATATTAAACAATAAACATAATTAGTAATTAGAATTTAGATATTGGTAGTTTGGTACATCATTCATGTTTGAATTATTGAATATTTGAATGCGTAACTTGTAACTTGCAAGTATTAGTGTGCTCTAAAATTACATTACATATTTAACATGTAAATTTATATTCTCTATTCACTAATCTTAAGGCTTTAAGCATAGACAAGACAACTAAATAGTCTAAGTGAATACATATGAATTGCATGTTGACATATTAGTGCATTGGCTTTCATCATTAAAGCAATTAAGTCATTTGCAAATTTTCCAAAAAAAAAAAGCTATATGAGAAATAAGAATAAATGTAAGTGTAATGCATTACATAATTTGTAATTTATAAGTGAATAAGCGATATTGTGTATACAACTACACAATAACATAGGTAAGTAAGTAAGTTGCATTTTGACTTTAAATAAATTATAAGTTTGTAACTTAGTCACTTATCACTAATTATTGTAAATTATAAATTTGTAACTAATATCACTTATCACAAATCATTGTAATTTGTAAGTTTGCAACTAATGTTACTTATTAATCATTGTCAATTATAAGTTTGTAAATTATCACTAATCATTATACAGTCTAAATTGCATTCTGGTTTAAATTAATCTCTTTTTATTTGTTCCTTAAATCATTGATCAAGGATTCAAGATATAACTAAGTATAGGTGATCAAATGAATACTAATTAATTTTTCAACTAGCTAGAGCAAGACTAATGTGTTAAATTATGGGAGCAAATCAAGAATAAAATTTTACTATTGAGGAGTATAATGAATGTACAATAATTTAGAGCCCCAATTCACAAATTAAAAATTACAAAAATCACTCATGTTATCAAAAAGTGACAGGTTGTCAAGTCTGTACAATAATAAACACTTGTTCAATTAAAGTATAAATTTTGTATACAGTGATAAGTATGGTCGAATCCATAGGAACTAGGGAAATTCGTTTCTCCTCAAGTTCAAAGTATGGAGGGATTTTTATAAAAATATGAATAACTAAACAAATCAAATAAAAAGGCCTAACTAATAATTTACTAAAAATGAAACAATAATAAATAAACTCCAGCCAAGAAATAATTTCGAAAAT